ATGAGAAACAAAGAGAAAAAAAACTATTGGGGTTTTCAGACAAACAATATACAGACACACAGGTGGATCTGCAGTCAGAGCAACAGACGTGGTATGCAGACTCGTTAACATTTACTGTCACTTCAAGAGAAAATGTGTTAACATCTCGCTGGACTAATAAAGTAGCTTTTGGCCCCGTTCAAAAATATCTGTGAATCATCCAACATCCCTGACTGCCAAGCTGAGTGCAGGCAAGCAAGCTGCAGATATTCACAGGAGCCACACAGTCATCTCATCTCAACATCGCTCTGCTTTTCCACTGAGCTGCCACTAAAAACAATTTGGGGGAGAGATGCTGCAGTGCTTTTGAATGACAGTCTCTTGACAGTTCTGCAGCAAACACATTAGCATAAAGTTCAATTTTTAACCAAATGGCAGGGGAAATAATGTGAGATAATAAAAACAACGGGGAATTCATTGTGTTTTTCACATTGGTTCAAACAGTGGACACGCTGCAGTGCGGACGCAGACGCTGGCCTCTGGATAAAACGGAGAAATGTACTGATGTTTGAACAGCCAATTGCAATCCATTCTCGTTAAGTCTGCCTCTCTGTCTGAACTGCCAAAAAACACAGTTAGACTCACAAAAAAAAAAAACGTGCACAGGAACACGCTCGCTCACAGACTTGGTCGTAATTTAGCCTTAAGCTTTTTAAATGGGCTAAAACACCAGATGCTGCAATCTCTCCCACATTCTTGCTTTGGCCCGACATTCTGTCAAACGTAGACCAACAAAGTTACATTACAGCAGATGTTTCATTTTTCTTCTTTGAGTAATGAATAAAAACAATTTAGTCTGCCGTTTAAAGCTCTCACCAGGTCTTTTTCTCAAATCCCTCTTAATTATATTTGGGAAAAAGTGAGGAAAAAGCAAGATTGTCTTCTAGTTTAAGGTACTTTTCCTGTGGTAATGTACAAAAGGAAATGTTTAGCACACATTAGATGAATATATAATTCACAGATTGTCATAAAGATATCACTATGGTGGGTAAAGCTTAACCGAGTCCTCATAAAGACTGATTTTGAGAACCAGTGGACTCAAACATCCGCCTCATTAAGCTGTTTGTCGACTGCGATAAAGTGAACCGCAATGATTTCAAGTTGAAGAGCTAAGGTGCAAAGCTCCAATATTATGTGATCTTAAAAATGTAAATAAATGCAAACATGAATTTTTCTGTTATTGTTTTTCGTTTGCTCATATCCAACACCCACTACCCACTTCCACCCATCTGTTCTGAAGCTTTCTCAAGCACAATGCTGTTTTTATGAATATTAAAATGAAAATGTTTTTTATGGACTTGAATATAAGGCTCTCTCTGGTTGAGTCATTTTGATCAATGCGTTATATGCTTAAACAGTTACATGTACATAGTGGTCATAAGATAAAATAAATAACAATATGCATGTGTGCCTGAACAAGACTTGAAACAAGATGCATGTAACAAGTGTGTATTCATGCTAGTCATTGTGTGTGTGTGTGTGTGTGTGTGTGTGTGTGTGTGTGTGTGTGTGTGTGTGTGTGTGTGTGTGTGTGTGTGTGTGTGTGTGTGTGTGTGTGTGTGTGTGTGTGTGTGTGTGTGTACAGTATGTTGAGGTATTTAAGAGCCGTGGATAATGTTGGCACTTTGATTGCCATGTTCTCCTCCCGCCGTCAGAGAACAGACGTTGTGCTTCATTTGACGACGTAGAACAAAATGGCCGTCAATCAAACTGACGACTTCATCTCCATGATAACTGCAATTTAACTGAAACCGGTATGAAGGCGACAAATGGTTGTTGCCAAGGAAAGCGAGTTTAACCCCTCATGGTAAAGAAGTCCAAATAATATAACTGGTCATTTCTTGATCGTGATAAATGCTTAAGCTTAGGGAGACTTAAAACTTCACACATTGAAGACGCACAGCCGAAAAACTGTGTTTGATACGGAAAGACTGGAGTTATAACACAGCCCAGTAATTACAAAAATAAAATGTTTTTTTTTTAATTTAAAAGACTGTTTAAACCTGTGAAAGAAACCTACTACAAAAATGAAGAACCTAAGCTCTTGTGAAGTCAAATAAATGATTTTCAACCTCATTCAACATTTCTCTCTCCGCAAAGGACTTTTACTGTGATTGTCAATTGAGATGCAAAATTACAATTCAAGAAATCATCAAAAAATGATAAGGAACATACACAGAGTTCAACAGTCTCTCAAAAACACAGACACTCACACACATGGACCCTCAGCTCCCACTCTCTCATTATTTAGTCTTTCCATCTAGAGAGGTTCAACAATAACAAGAGAGGAAATGAGGGCGGTGATGTCACAGGCGATAACACACACACACACACACACACACACACACACACACACACACACACACACACACACACACACACACACACACACACATCTCACANAGCGATGGGGTGACATTGTGAATGTGTGTGCGATGCTGTGACACATCGCCTACGACTCATTATGGTTTCACTGTGATCAGACGGCTGGGGAGCTGTCAACCACACACACACACACACACACACACACACACACACACACACAGACACCTCTGTCGTTGCAGCTCTTGACATCTCCTAGCTCGCACCCCCTCTAGCGCTCCCCCGCAGGACACAGACACACATGCATCCAGGCATGTGCGACACACACACAAACACACACACACAACACACACACACAAACACACAGCACCCATGTAAATGTGTATAAATATTCAGACAGGCGTCTACAATTAGAGGGCTGTGTGGAAGATGTAGATGCACGATTAGTTTGTTTTCCCTTCATGTGTGTATGTACGCAAGTGTCTGCTTTTGTGTGTTCTTTTTCTCTTCATCAATGTCAGTAATCGTAGGCTTGCCCTTCAGTTCTTACTCGGTGAAATCACTCACAGCTGATCAAAGCAACATAACAACAAACAGTTGTGTGCATATGTGTGGGTTTTCTATCAGTGACTTGAATTACTGTATATAAATATGTGTGTGTACATTTGAAATGTTCCTACATTTTAGACATGCTCTCATCTACTTATTTGTATCCTGCTAAGAACACTATATGAGTGTCTTTATGAAAGCTCATATAAACATTATACCTTCTTTTGTGTCGATTTTATACAGTTGTATCTGGTTTCATGAGTCAAGCTTCTTCTAAGTTCGAGTTCAAATGTTCACCTTATTCTAATTTCCACTCCTGTTGTAACATATCGTCTCGTTCCCAACAGTTACTCACATCCAGTCTGTCTGTTGCCCTCAGCCCTTCCCGACATGACCTGACAGTCACCTGCCTGCACTCCTAATGTAGCCCTCAGTCCTCCTAATCACTCACTTAATATGTACTCTAATTCACAAGATCACTCTTATTCTCAGATTATATTTTCCGCCTCATAGCCATACAGTGCAAGTCTGAGCCCGCCCCTGCCTGCCTTATGACCACTTTTTCGAAATGAAGTACAGGGAAGAGATACATAAAGAAAACCACAGTATGAGATATCAATTACAACTCTCAAAAAAAAAAATGCCTTATGATCTTGGTCTGATTTTTCTACTGCCGGTTCTTTTGTGTTTACTTTGCTTTCTGAAAGACTAAGAAAACAGCTTTGCACTTCACATCAACTTATATTATTTGCATCCAGCTTTTTGGTCCTCATTACAAAAACCTAAAATTCCAAAAGTCTGGATGCAACTGGATCAGACCATTCACATGATAATGAAGAGGTGTAAATGTTTTGCATACAAGCTGAAACTATCTTTACTTTTATATGCATTTAAAGAGGAAAGTGCATCACAAAGATAACATTCTTGCAATACTACAGAAGCTGCACTTTGTCTAGTTGTTCCCATACTAGTTTCTGGTAAATCATGTTAGAGGTCCCATGTCACGGCCATTTCCACTGATCATAATTCCATTGTTGAGGTCTACTAGAATAGATTTATATTGTGCAATTTTCCAAACTCACATTGGTTTCCCATACAGCATCTCTGTAAACTACGTGTATTCACTGAATTTCACTCTCTGCCTTTAACGGCTCGTTGTAGCTCCAGTAGCTCCGCCCCCCCCCTCCCTGTGAGCACAGTGTGCTCTGATTGGTCGGGACGTTGTGAATCGCGCTAAGCTCCGTGGAGGTGTGGTTTCCTTGTTTAGCGATACACAGCGAAACACAGCCAAACTCACCCTGAGCACACACAAAGTCACAGCCGAAGTAAAAACAATAAGTGTGGCTTGATATTGAGTAAGAACAAGGTTGATAAACGCTGTGAGAATGGTCTGCAGAGAGAATTTCGCCGCGATCCCAACTGTCTGTTATCAGCCTGCAGCCAGGGAGGAGAGATCAGCAGAGCTGCCTGCACTGAGTGTGTGTGTGAGGAAGTCCGTGGATTGGTCAATTTGGACCAATCAGCGGGGGCTTAACGTAACGGCTCCGCGGACGTAACGTAACGGCTCCACGGATTGGTCCATTTGGTTCCGGGTACGCATGACATCATGCGTACCCGGAAGAATCAATGGACAGTGACGTATCTCCAACGAGGCGTTTTGGGGAGGTATTTTCTGTGTTAGAGTTTTACTCGCTACAGGGTGTACTTTGAGGGTTTGTGACTCTGCAGACTGTTTACATGCATAAAAACCTTTATAACACAGAAGGGGACGGGTAATAACCAGAAAAGCATGACATGGGACCTTTAAGCCATTTTAACCTCGCCAGTTTGAGATCTAAACCAACCTAAATCATTCTTAAAAAGCAAGACACAGTCTAACTTAATATAGTTCAAGCAGACCATGCACAATGTAACTTATTGTACTCTACACGCCTAGTTAAAATCTCCCCAACCTCATTAAACTTGACCCACTGCTTCCCATCCTGGGTCAACTTAACCCATTGGCACCATTTAAATCAACCTGAATCCAAACAAAACTCAACTACAGATTACTGCGGCAGTGTAACAACTTCTGAAGCTATAAGTGTTACCTCTCCGTTCTCCAGTGGTTGGATCTTTGAATAAAAAGACGTGCAGATAACTTCATCATCTCGGGTGTAGGATGGATTTCCGGTCCGCGGGTTGATGTTGAACCTCGTCAGGCACTCTGTGTCTGTCATGGCGTAGTACTGCCAGGGGTCAAAGGTGACGCCATCTATTGAACGCTCTAAGATCCAGTTACCTGTGGACAAAAATATGATGAAAGAATGATGATGAAAGGCATTAAACGTGTGATATGTAGATGGGAAATTATCAATAACAGAATGATGGAGGTCCAAGATGTGCTGAGGTCAAACTATTTAAAATACATAGAAAATTGACAGAACATTCAATTCTACATATTTATTAATAGCCTGGACCGAAAATGTGATATTCCACCTCCTGAATCGATTCAATGGATATTCATTTTTTTTCCATCCAAGAGACAATCAGACTGCATTTACCAAAGAAAAAGTTCCTGTCCAACTTTGTAAGTTTAGGTAAATGAAGGTTAAACCATTTATTTTTACAACAATATATGAAAACGTATAAATTGCAATAAAAATAGATACTTAAAAGAATGTCTCAAAACTGCGAAAGTAGAAAATGATGATGAAATTCGTATAATCCAAAAATCATCACTTTATGTTTTTGTTTTTCACAATACCTTTGGTCTATTTTATCTGTTAGAAAGGGCCTTTTTCCATTTGTCCAGCACAGTTTCACACATGTTCCTATTAAAACCCCTTAAAGGTCACTTATCGTGCTATTTTTAGGCAATAGCATAGGTCTCAGATATATAAAAATATATAAAA